CTGGCTCTTTCCGACTGCTCGGGGTCTCCGCCGAGCCGCGCTCTCCGCCTCGGGCCGCCGACCCCGCCCGGGTGCTCGGTGGTCGCGGGGCTGAGCCCGTCCCTTGAGGGGGGCGCCTGCCTGGCGCCTGGGCCGCGCGAGTGGACAGCACCCTGCGCCCGGCTGGCCCGCTCGGCCGGGACTGCGGAGTGGACCTGGGCCCCTTCCCGCGCTGCTCAAACGCAGCCAGCGGGGAAGCCTGGCCGCCCCCTTTCCTGCTGGCGCGCGCCCAGCCGCCAGGCGCTGGGCCCTGCTTCTGCCCCACACGCGCGCGCCAGGATGGCACGTCCAGCGCAGGTCTGCGGCCATGCTGTTCGCAGGCTGGCGGCGTTCAGCCGGCCTGGTCTCTGGCCCTCGTCCCCCCGCTTGACATAACTCAGTGCCAGGGAGGCCCCCGTGAGGCTGGACCACAAGGCAGTTGGACAGCTCGGCAGTGGCCGTGCAGGGCAGGATCTCAGCGCCGTTGCGAGGCCCCCGGCCGGCTCCCCAGGCTCTGCCGGGTTCTGCGGGGCATGGGCTGGGGCAGGAGCGGCAGCCTGACCCTGGGCCTTGTGGCATGTGGACCGGGCCGGGCTTCCCGTGGGGTGGGCGGGCCAAGGCCTGTGCCCCTTGCAGCGCCACCAGGGCTCTTTATTTTTTTCCGAAGAAAGCAGTTGGGGGCTGCCTGCAGCCCGGACTCAAGCTCAGCCGGCCTTGGCCAGTCTACTGGGAGGCGCCTTCTTTCCTGCCCGTCGCCCACCCGCAGCGTGTTTCCCTGGCAGGGAGAACATGGGGACTTGGGAGGGGGGGCATGGGGCCGCCCTGGGGGCCTGGTCTCAGTGCTGTCACTGTTGGTGGAGTGTGACCCTGGGCAGGGAGTGGCCCCCAGGCAGCATCCTCTCCTGTCTCCCCCTGCTCCCCGCTGTCTCTGGGGGGTCCTCTCCCCCACCTCTGGTCTGCACCCTTCTATTTGACTGAAAGGAACCGAGGTGGAGTAGGAGGAGGCAGGAGGAGAATGTCCCGGTCCTGTTCTCAGGACTCGCTGTCAGCTGGGCCCCACGTTAGCGCCCCGAAAGTGGGATCTAAAGACCAGGGCTCGCCAGGACGGACCGGCCCTGGGCTGTCCTCGCGCCTGCGCTGTCCTCTCCCTGGAGCGCAGTCTGCTCTGCTCCGGCCTTATGCAGACGGGAGAGCAGGTGCCTCACCCCGGCTGGGGGTGGGGCCGGTAGTCGCCTGCTGTGCCCTGCCGCGTGGCCTGGTAATAGCCAGGAGCGGGGCTGGCGTGTCCCGCTAGGCAGGAGACCCCGAGGACACGTTGTGGCGGCTGGAGCCCCCGAGCGCCCACGTTTTGTTCTTGCTGTGAAGCCGCCCCCCACCTGTCATGGGCTCGGTCCGTGGCCCCGTCTCAGGTTCTGCCTCCGTGGCTCTGGGGAGACCGGCGGGACCGGAAGCCCCTCTCTACGCCTCCGTCCGTCCCAGGGCTGCGGCCTCCCACCGGCCTGTGTGCTGTACTGTCCCGCTGGACTTGCCGCCGCCCCCACTCGGGGTCAGTCTCGAGGGGGGCTCTGTGTGGCCTGCTTTTCCAGGTTCGGAGCCCACCCGCTCCCCGAGCCACCCAGGTTTGACCTGACTCTGGTCTCTTGGTGGCTGCCTGAGCGGGGACTCCACGAGCCGGCCGTCCTCGGCGGCCCTCGGTGGCCCTCGCTGACCTGCAGCTGGTCATGGGCAGGGCCGTGGGACCGAGTTTGCTCTGCTCACCCTGACCACACAGACCCCCGGCCCCTTCAAAGGGGCGGTGACGCTGCGTGACGGAGACCGCTGTGCGTGACCGACTGTTTACCTGCAGGAGGTGAACGTCGACTTCGAAGCCTACGCCATCTCGGCTAACGATCGCGACGGAATCAGGAAGCTGCTGCAGCAGGTACTGCCTCCCTCGCCGCGCACCTGGCCTGCGTCGGCCGGGGCCGCCCTGCCGTTCAGCGCCCTCCGGCTGCTCTCCCGCAGGCAGGCGGCCTCGCTTCTCCTCTCGCCGGGCTGCCTCCACCTCCGTGCCCGGACCCCACCCTTTCACCGCCGCTGACGGGGGCTGCGGTCCCGGCCCGTGACCCGCAGCTGCACCTGCCAGGGTTGAGTTATCCTTCCGGAAAGCCGCGGCGGGTGCTGAGACGTGCGCTCCTGCGTCTGCGTACTGCTGCATAGACCCGAGTAGGGTCCTTGGGCCCCACCCTTTCCGCCTCCAGTGTCCTGGCCACCCGGTCCTCTGGCGAGTCTGTCCGCCTTCCCTCACAGCCCTCCCATCTCCCCGCCGACTGCCGCCTCGGCCGCGGGCCTCAGCTTGTCGGGCTCTGGGCCTCTCGTTGCTGCGGGGTTTGGCCCTCCAGGGCTTCTTCCAGGTCAAGTCACTGAAACTTCACTATTTTTTTTTTCCAGTGTGAAAGTAAGTTTTATTTTTTCTTAACTCATGCTTTGGTAGGAATTTGGACTATTTTCTCTCTCCCCTTAGCTTTTCCTCAAGGCTCCTGTGAACACGGCCGAACTGGCAGAGCTCTTAATTCAGCAGAACCACGTTGGGAGCGTGATCAAGGTGGGCATGACGCGGGTTACCCCCCCTCCCCCCGCGTTAGTTCTTTGCCAGCTGAGTTGCTCCGGGTGTTGAGCAAGCGGGTCGGGGCTCACACCGCAAGGAAGCGCCGCTCGGAAAGGGAGACCGGCTTGAGCACCGCTCCGGGGCAGGGGACAAGTGCGGGGTCAGTCCTGGGTGCTGACGTGTGGGTGCCCTAGCGAGCGGCGGGCGGCTCGCGCTACCTGCCGTGGGCGGCGGACGGGCGGCGGGCGGGGGAGTTTCAGCTTCACACTGTTTGATTCGCCCGCGCCCCCCAGCAGGGCGGTGTGTTCCCAGATGAGTGTCCCTGAGCTCAGAGCCGGGCTGAGGCCCGGGCAGGGCAGGGCAGGGCAGGGCTCTGGCGCCACGTGACCTGGACGGGGTGGCACAGGGTACAACTGAGGAGGAAACTTGGCGGAGCAAGTGGGCAGGGCGAGGCCAGGCACTGGCAGCACCCTCCAGAACGGGGTGGGGGGACCCCTCGGCTGCTGTGCCTGTGTCACCAGCCGCCCCCGCGGCCGTCTCCATTTGCGCGCGCAGGGAGGGCAGCTCTCGCGGGGCACGGGGCGGGCTGGGCTCGGCGTCCAGCCGGCTCGCCCGTGACTGGCCAGTTGGGGCTGCGCGGGCTCCTCTGCGGGCCCCACCGCGCGGGACAAATGCCCGGCGAGTCCTGGGCCAAGAAACGCAGGACAGCACGAGCTCTCCAGCCTGCAGAGGCCAGGCGGGGGGGACGGGGCGAGCAAGGCCACGCCACGTGGCTGGGGCCGTCTGAGATGACGAGACACAACAGTTGGTCTTTGAAAAGCAAAGACAGGTGAGGCCTCGGTGACCGACTCCCACTTATTTAACTTTTTCTTCTTTTTAAACACAGCAAGCGAATGCTTCAGAAGACAGCGGTGATGAGACAGATGAAGACGAGGTTTTTGGCTTTATTAGTCTCTTCAACTTAACTGAGAGAAAGGTGGGTTTTGCTGAGCGCCTGAGTGGTCACTCCTTAGGCCAAGACCCGTGTATTCCATTGTGAGCCCACTCTCGTCGCTGACATTCGCCATGGGGCATGCGCGGGGGGTGGGGGGTGTCACTGTAGTCCGATGAAGGCATCCGAGGTGGTGAGTGGGGTGCTGCAGCCCCGGGGTGCCAGGCCCAGCGAGCGGGCCCCTGCGCTGACCACAGGGATCCCGAGGCTTTGGCTCCTGCAGCTGAGGGCGCTCCCTGACTGGAACGAGTGTTTTCATTCACCTTTGTTTTCTCACTGTCGACGTCTAAAAAAAGCTAAAAGCAGCTGTGAATCCTCAGAACACGAGGCAGGCTGCCCTTTGAGCTTTCGGCGAACCTTCCGTTCCCTCCATCTTTATGGTGGACCTGACTGCTGAGGTCAGTGTGTCTGTTGTGACCTCTCGTGCCGGTCCTGGGCCGCAGTGACCGGCGGAGCTGCCGAAGCGCGCAGCGCTGAAGCCAGCTGGGATTTCAGGGCTCTGGCGGGAAAGTGCCCTCGCCCGGGGGTGGACGCGGCCGCTCCCGTGCTCCAGCGCGCTGCTCTCCCCAAGTGGCGGCCGTGACAGAAAGCCTCCTCTCTGCTTGCTAGGGTACCCAGTGCGCGGAGCAGATCAAAGAGTTGATTCTGAGCTGCTGTGAGAAGAACTGTGGGAAGAGCGTGGTTGAGCAGCTGGACCAGCTCTTGAGCGACGCCGCCAAGCCCGTGGGCTTCCTGCTGAGCGAGCGCCTCATCAACGTGCCCCCGCAGGTTGCCCTGCCCATGCACCAGCAGCTGCAGTAAGGGGCCGGTCGCCTTCTGCAGGCCGCAGGTGGACGGCGTGTGCCTCACCTGAGATGCTCGCGTGTGGAGCGCGTCCTGGCGCGCCCGTCCTTAGCGGTCAGCGCTGTGCCTGCCCTGGCATGAAAAGGGGAGCTTTCACCCCACTTGGGACCAAGTTTTTCACTCTCTGCAGAGTCTTGTCATGCGTGTAAAATGCTGAACGCGCTCAGCCATCCCAAAGTGGCCGTAAGAGGCGTCAGTTCTGCGGGATGTTTGCTAACCAAGGAAAGGCCCTGGCCGGCCTCGAGTTTGCTGCAGTTCTCGACTGCAGGAGTTTTACGTGTCCAGGCTGTGTAGGTGAGAGAGGAGCCGAGGGCTGGCGCTGCCTGTGCTTTGAAGGAGGAAGGAAACAGGTGCCGGGCCTGAGGAGCGGCCGCCTTGGGTCGTCGTTCCTCGGGCCTCTCCGGTTACCCAGGTCGAGCGTGGGCCCGTCCCCCAGTCTCAGATGGTTGTCTCCAGGTTTCCTTGGTGGGTTCGCTGCCTTCCGTTTCACCCTCGTTCTCCCGCTGCCCTGAGCGGCCCACGCTGCGCGTGTCGGTGCCGCCATGTGTGTTTGCCCGCTGGCGTTCTGGTCCCCCAGGAGAGCGCTGCTGAGGCGTGGGGTCTTCTGGGCTCCTGACGCCTCTGTGTGGCTAGGTGCAAGGTCACGTGTGACTCCAGTAACAGAAGGGCTGTGCTGCCGTCCCCAGACTGCAGGGAACCCCATGTCTTGCCCTGCCGTTCCTCAGAGTGGCTGTGGCCCGGCAGGCCCGTGCGCGAGTGTCACTGGGCTGTGCCATGCTCCTTGTGCATTTCACTTAGCTGTTCCTGCTTTCAGAATCCAGGTCTGGATGTTTTCCACTTCTGGACCGTGGTCCCGAGCCAAGCGAGACCCACCGCTGGGTCGCAGGTGTCCGCACCGCACGTGCTCTGGTGCATCTTGGTGCTCGCCACTGCCGCTGGCGGCGCCGCCTGTGCCTAAGCCGGGCCATGACCCCCGGCCACGCGGTGCGCTGGGGCTGTTCCGGGCGGCGCCGGCCTCCAGGTAACCCCACGCTTGCCTTGTAGGAAAGAACTGGCTGAGGCGCAGAAGACCAACAGGCCCTGCGGCAGGTGCGCCTTCTACCTGCTGATCAGCAAGACCTTTGTGGAAGCGGGAAAACACTCCGGCAAGAAGGGGCTCCCCCAGCACGGAGGCGGGCTGCTGTTCGCGAACGCAGAGGAGGAATTCTTCTACGAGGTGAGGCCACGTTGCTCCGAGCCGCCGTAAGAAGGGCTTTTCTGGAAAGTGGCCGGGGCTTACTGCGCCTCGTTTCTGTCAAAATCCCCTGTAACGCCCACACGTAGTAGGTTCCGTGGGCCAGTCACCCCATGCCTGCAGTCTGGGCGCTGTCTGGTGCTGTCCTCCGGGAAGGGACTTGTCTGACGGGCGGACACCAGGGCATTCTTCTCGTGCTGCGCCGAAGACGAGAGAGCCCCGCTGGCCTCTGCCCTGTCTCTCGGGAAGCAGACAGTGGAAATGACATCTCTACCGCTTGCACCTCAGCTTGCCAGGGCCCCTCTCAGGGACGGGTGCGTGGGTGCTGCGACCCCGGCCCCGCGGGCCTGCCCGTCCCACCCGGTGCCAAGGAGGCAGCGGGACAGTGGGGGAGAGCGCGAGCCCGGTCGTCAGACGCGCACGCCTGGCTGGCCTGTGGGAGGGGGCTGGCCGGGGAGCCTCGCCGCGTGCAGCAGCTGGCGGGGGCGTGCGCCGCCTCTCGCCGCGCCTGTAGACTACCCGGGGAGCGTCTCAGGACTTCGGCCTGCCCGTCCCGGTGGCGCTTTGCTTCCTCCAGCCGTCCCCTCCTGCACACTTAGCCTCCCTTGTTGCAAGGAATGCGCTTCACGCGCGGCTCTCGTTGGTTTAGAAGGCGGCCCTGCAGTTCAGCTACTCGGTGCAGGACGAGAGCGACACACGCCTGGGAGGCGGGTGGGCCTTCGACGACGTGCCGATGAAGCCCCTGCGGACGGTGATGCTGGTCCCCAGCGACAGGATGGACGCGGTCATGGAGAAGCTGAGGGATTACCTGTCGGTCTGACCGCTGCCCCGGCGCGGGCTTGTGTTTGCGAAGTGACCAGAAAACCGAAGCTTTTACTGGAAAACTCATGGCTTTATTCAGATTAAGGTCCTCTACAAAACGTAGGGTCTGTCACCTGTGTCTGTGACACGTTACAAAATACTTTCATTTGTTCAAATTATGAATGTTTGATTAAAAACTCTTCAATAAAAAGAAAAACATGAACAGTAATGTAAAGAACTCAATAAAAACTTCTATTTCTTATTTTTAAATACTATGCAAGCGTTACTTTCCAGGATCCCTGCGGGATGCCGCCCTCCTCCACAGTGACGGTGCGTCCCCGGGGACCCTCCCGAGGTGGCCGGCGCTGGCCGCAGCGGACGGCGGCGGTCACTGGAGGACGCACCTCTGCTCGGCGGCCTCGGGGCCCTGCTCGCCTTCCTTCTGCTCGGCGCTCGCGGCCGCGAGGGCGGAGAGCCGGTCCATGGCCTGCTGCAGGATGTCCTTGCTCTCGCTGGGCGGCAGGTTGCTGAAGTAGTACTGGGGCGCCAGCTGCACGAACCTGCGAGAGCAGACAACGGCCGGAGTGAGCGTCGCGGAGGGCGCAGGCCCGCCAGGGAGCTGCTGGAGCTGGTCTGAGGCGGAGCCCTCGCGCCAGCCTGCCGTTGAGCGAATGCTCGCTGGCTCTGTAACGCCACCCCGGGTAGCGGCGCCACCCCTTTAGTCCCGTGGGGGTCAGCTCAGACGCTGGCGGTAAGGGGAAGGGCCTTCCCCTGGTTAGCAGCTCACGCACACCCAGCTACGGGCGCCAGGTGCGCACTGAGCTGCTCCCGGCCCCTGCCAGACCCCCGGGGGGCGGGGGCCCCCAGCAGCCTTGTCGCCCAGCGGGCGGAGCCATCGTCACGGACGAGGTCGCCTGTGCTTAACGCTGCGCTTGGGGTGAGCCACTGACGCAGCAGGCCCAGCGCCGGCCGCCCCCTGCGGGTCTCGTGAGACGCCTGCGTTTGCTCCACACCTGGCATCCACCTCGTCCGTGTGGTCTGCGCCGCACCCCGCAGGTAAGTCTTCCCGTGAGCCGCGGGCGCTTACGCCGGGAATACCACAGGCCACACCCGCCGGAGGGCAGCTCCCTCGCCACTTACATTTCGGGAGAGACCTCCGAGGCGACCCTGATGTAGTTGTTCTCAGATATGCTGAAGCTGTGGAAGAGCACCCACTCGGGCCTCTTCCTGGCGAGGGAGTAGCTGGACAGGGGGTGCAGCTGGGCCACCTGCTTGTGCGTCAGCATCAGGTAGTTCCCCGCGCCGTCGACGTCCCGGGCGATCTGCGGGCAGAGTGTGATGCAGAGCGCGGTGTGGTGGTCAAGACAGAACTCGAGCAGGTCCAAGCGCTTCATGCGGAAGAGCTGAAACTACAACTAACTCCCGCACGTTTTCACGTCAGACCGAGAAAATGAGCCAAGGGGTTTTCCTGGACCTCCGTGAGGGACACGCTGTCAGGCACCTGTGGCCCCGGGGGGCTGGGGGGCTGCAGGCTGGGAGCTGGGGGGCCGACGTGTCCGGTGTCAGGCCCTAGGCCTCGGATATAGCCCACCCCTGACCCTAGTGCTGGCTGTGGGTTCCCAGCACCGCCGAGGGCCACTCTTCACGGGCCTTCGAGAGGAGCCC